AATAACTGCCCTATCCCTCCTTTCCTACGTAGCCCTTTATATTTACATTATACCTGTAATTAACTGTTTATTAGGAAATTTAGCCATTTTTTTCCATTTTATTGCCTTTATCGCACCCTTCTCTCAAAACAAAATGCCCCTTTCCACACACTGCAGTTCTCGTCTAGTGAAACCTTACTCATCCTTCAAGACCCCTGTACTATCTTTCTGAGGCTACTGTAGCAGATTCCCACAAACTGGTGGCTTAGAAATTTATCCTCTCACAATTCTGGTGACTGGAAGTCCAAAATCAAGCTGTTTAAATTTTTACATTGGGAAAAATTTGTTATCTAGTGTATTTATCTTTTCTCTCAAATTCTGCAGTGCTTTGGTCAGCAGACACCTCAGTTTGAAAACAATGTTTTTCTATTTTTTTTCTATGACTAACTGTATCTTAATAGGCCATAACTTTGTACAATGGTTGATGTCATAACAGCTGAGAGTTTTAGGCACAAGCTAATCATTTTTTTTCATTTACAGAGTTTGAGAAAGTTTGGTTCATGTCTAAATAACGTTTCTGACCTTAGTTTTTACTAAATTAAAGTATCAAAAAAATTTTTAATGTAGAAATGGCTTTTTTTTAAGTAAGCAAATGTTTTAAATAAAATGATAGATAATAGTATGGATTTGAAAGCTTACAAAGCACTTTTGCTTCAAACTCATCTATGTCTACAACATCTGGTCTTTCATCTCTTCTTCCTGCCTCAGAGAAAGAAGCAACACTCTAGCCCATGGCTTAGCCCTTGTTCCAACCTCTGGAGCCACAGGACTCTGCTCCACCACTACTCACCTCTTTCCTATATTATCCACTTTCCCTCTTTATCTTTTCCCCAGTCTATTAAAAGAATACAAATCCTCCCTCTACCTTATATTCCCTGTAGCTATTGCCACTTCTCTTGTTATTCTCAAAGAAGTGTCTGCTTTCATCTCTGCATCCTCACTGCTGTGAAATGAATGACTTCCTAACCATTACCCCCAAGGGCTGTTCTCATTCACATCTTCCTGGCTGCGTAAGACAAGGTTGGCTGTCCCCTCTTTGAATGAGCTCCTCCCTTGGCCTCCATGGGGCCCGTGTCTCCTCCAACCCTTCAATGCCTCTCTTGCCGCCCTTTAATCTTTCCTGCATTGCTGTTCACCAGGGGTCTACCTTCTACCCTCCTTGTGCTCTACACACTCTCCCTCCAAAACTTGATCAACCACAGTGATTTTTATTTACTATTCACCTCTAACTCCCAAATCCTGACATCTCTTTTGACCTCCCTGTTTTACAACTGTGCGCCTACTGAACATTTCCACCTAGATATTCCAAAGGGACTTTAAACAGTGGAATTCATTATTTTCCACATCTGCTGTTTCTTTGCATTTGCAGTGAGTAGTAGAAGGGAAAAGGGATATAGGATGAGGAAGACTACAGACGGAAATCTCTTGGGAGATCTCTCCAGCAGCTAGGGGAATATGTACATGTGGAGAGAACTCTGGAGATGTGGGTTTCAGGGCCCTGCACTATTGAATGGTGCATGTAAATGTAAGTTCATTAGTAAAGCTAGTGAGCACACAGCTGACTTTTAAGCCTCTACTTTGTATGGTATGAATTTTGTCACTGGAAATCTTGAGTAAAGAAATACTTGAACCTTTCTGTAATTCCTGCGAAGGCACAGGATAGAGGTTGTAAAGTAGATCCACCCAAGACTCTTAATATAGTCCAGCATGTGGACTAGTGTAGTGTATGTAGGTAAAGGAACTGTAATTAGAACCACTGCTAGAGGATATCCAGCCAGGCAAATGGTAGACCAAGACTCCTGATTATATTTTCCCTCCCTAGGAGAGCCCGGCTTCCACACGTACATACCCCTCAGTCAGAGATAAGAATATATGGTGTCCCTTGTACCTATTCCCTGCCCTTGCCTGGACCAGAGAAACAGTCTTGAATCATTTCAAGTCTCTACTTAATCACAATGTGAGAGAGTAGCTTGTTTGCTTGTCTGCCTTCTCCCTTAAGGAAAGAAGATTTGCCTCATCAGTCTTCTCTCCTAGCATAATGCCAGGTGCAAAAGGAGCTCCCCTCAAAATGTACATTGAAGTAAAAGAGGAGGCTGGCAAGCAGGCAACATGGGAAATTCACGTGATAAATATCATGCTTAGAAAGTGAAGTGACAGATGTCAGGCCACTTCTACTATCTCAAAGAGGCCCAGGCCAGAATGCCTGGTTTCAAATCCCAGCAGTGCTGCTTACTAAACTTTGTAGAAGTTACTTCAATTTTTTGTGCCTTAGTTTCCTCAAATGTTAAAAGGAAATAATAGTACCTACCACATAGGATTACTGTGAGAATTAAAAAGGTATATAAAGGCTTGACACATGGTAAACACTTGGTAAATGTTATCTAATGCTGTTGTATATATTACCTGTCCCTCACCTGGTACAGTAGGAAGTCTTTTCATCAAAGAAAATAGAAATAGTCATTACGGTGAAGTATCACAGAATACTGAAATGGACCTTTGTCATTCTTTTGGTTGTCCAGCTCAAAATTCCTTTCCTGAGTCTAAGTGGGAGGCCTCTCACTAAGAAGCTAATAAAGTCAGACACAGGATGAAAATTCAGGACTCCCTTACAGCTAGGGCTTATAGCCTATGATCCAGGCCTAGCAAAAGGATTTAGTGACATCAAGCAGTAGGGATGAGGGAACTGTAGCATAGTCATGCCCACTTTTTCCAGAGACAGCAATAATGATGGTTCCAGCAGCAGTATGTAGGGCCACTGCTGGCAGTGCAAGATAAGTGGCATCTTCACAGGCTATACTGGTAACATAACTATGGCTGGGTCCTTGTCTGCTGCCAATATCCCCATGTTCCTGCCGATTTTGCGGCCCACAACTCTATCCTCTCCAGAAATGCTTCAAACCACCCATTGTCCTTTTCTGCTTCTATCAGCTTGTTTTTTTTTTTCCCTTGGTGCAATTTAACCTGCCAGACTAATACAGATTATTAGGTCAGATGGCTTAATAAGATATAAGTGCAGTATTTCAAGTTCGTTTTATTAGTTTTTTGATTTGCAGTGTGTCTTCTACTTGGCTCCTGTTCAGGGATAATTTTTCTTGGATGATTTTTGTTTTAGTAATTCTGAGATGCTAAAGAAATATTTTGTTGTTGTGCCGTTTGGCAGTTAGCCTTCCTCTTCTCCTTTTCCCTCTACTCTTTAATTAGTGTGGGGAGTGTGAGTCAGGATAACCAAATTTTAATTGACTAGAATCTACCTTTAGGTAGAAGAAATCAGGCAACTGATGAGTGTAGAAATAAAGGAAAACGAAGGGAGAGAAGCAAAACCAGTGCCTTGTGCAGGAGAGTATCACAAGAGAACTGTAAGTTCATTTAATTTAACTGGTTTATTTTCTAAGTAAAGAGCTTATAACAGAGAACATACAGCTAATGTGTGTTCAAGATACAACTAATTGCATCTTCTCACTTAGTGCAGGGCTCTTGCCTTTATCTATTATACCAAGAAGCAAATGACCTGAAAGCAATCTGAGATCAGGTTAAATTCAACCCAATTAATTATACTTTTTAAGTTTATGGTTGTGTATGATAAGAATTTACATATTCAAGAGCTTTTATAATTTAAAAAGCACTTGGTTCATTAAATTCTCTCAACTTTTCTTAGATAAGATAGTTAGCACTTTAAAAAGAGAGATGTTGGTATTCAAGTCTTGATAAAATTTTTAACATCCCTCCTATCTGACTGCCCTGTCTCCCTTTTTTATTTTGCTTTTGATGTCGTAGCTACAAAAAAAGACAGGAAGAAAGCAATATTAATGTATTTGAACAAAAGGGTCTCTTGATTGGAACCATCATAAAAATATATTGGATGGTGTTATTAATCTCCATTTACAAATGAGGAAACAGAAGAATTAAGTGACTTGGAGAATATTAAATAACCACTAAATGGCAGAACTATGGTTCATTTAAAATATATATATAATATATATTGAGTATTTAATGTGTCAGGCTGGGTAAATAATATATAGTCAGATAATATATAGTCAGATAACTAGAAGTTTCTATAACCAGTATATTACATTCTAAACCACTATTATTGAAGTTTTTACTGTACAATATGCTGTAATTTTAGCAGCTGGCCATAAATAAATACTTTTCTACTTACACAAGATTCATGTTGCTCCATTTCTTTGGAGACTGATCTTGAAATATATTAAACTAAAAGATCTATCTCAAAGTCACGTTTTACTCATTTCCCTGGATTCTCTAAAGTAAAATAGAAAGCTGTGAACAAAATATTGACGATATGAAGTTGCATCACTGTATAATCAATTATTAAAACCTAGATTTAACAAGTTATTTTCATTTTCAGGCTAATGGCATATAAAGAGGGTATTTTATTCTCTGCATAGTTTTTCCAACATATTTGTATAGATTATGAAAGTCATTTGTGAAAGGAAACTAATTCTCTTGGAACATAAAGGGAATAATATATATTTTTATGTAGTTTGTATATAGTGGAAAATACCATTCTTGTATATTTCGCTAAAACAGACCATTAGCACAAGACCTAAAGATTGATGACATCCAGGGTTTTCAACGAAAATTCATTGCCTCTTTTTCCTCAGAAAGTTGAAAGAAAAACGAGGAGAGCTTTTAAATAAAAACTAAATAATGGTGCCGGCATCATTGGGCAAAGACGCAGAAGAAATGGTAAGATACGGGCGGGCAATCTCACAACAGTGTCATCAATAACAAAAACTTTCTAACAAATTTCAGGTGGCTGTTAAACCTCTTAGACAGCTGGTTGATAAAGGTAGTTTTATCAAAGGATCGTCTCCTCTTCCATCAACGCGTCAGGGCCCAGACTAATAGCCCCTACTCCGCCCCGCGCCCCTTTCCTCCAGGCTGCGTCAGCGTAGCTCTCCTGGCCACGCCCCCTCCCGTCCGTCGCAAGGTCCCTCCTCTTCCATCTTCCACTTCCTGGCAGCTGCTCGCCCGTCTTCTCGGGACCTGATTGGCTGATGTGGCAACCGCCAACGGCTGCGGAGTTTAAACCCGAGCCTCGGCCACCGGCGGCGATCTTCGGAAGCTGGATGGTGGTGCCCCGCAAGCTGAAAAAGCGGTAAGCGATCTGTAACATTTGGCATGGCCACCCCCTGTCTGGCGGGATCCGTGCCTTTCCCGGGCTGAACTTTTCGGCTCTCCCCTCCCGAGCCTTCGGTCGGCCGAGCCCCGCGCGACCGGCGGTCACGCCCACCCTCCGCCTTCAGGTATCCGGAACCGCGGCCCCACCGCCCGCTCCGAGGGCCTTGTTGTTGTAGTACCTGGTTTGCGCTCAAGGCGCTCTCTCTTATCCTGGGTGTTTGAACATCCGGCCAGATGACGGGGACGAGCCGCCAGTTAGAAGGTCGGCTCCTTTGGAGAAGGGATTTCTGTCTTTGTGACCGCTCTACTCCCTAATTTTAGAACGATATCTAGCCCGTTGTGAGCGCTCAATAAGTATCTGCTGAATGAACGTTAGAGACTGCTTACCCAAGTTCTTGAAGGAGCCCTCTCTGGAGCGCTCCTTTAGAAGCGAGTCTGGTCGAAGGTGAACGGGAGATGGGAGACTGGGAAGAACTTGGAACTCGAACTAGGTCTCGATGTATAGGAAGGGTTTTAGTAGAGAATAGGGACGATGATTTTTCTAGATGAGGGATCCAGTTCAGGAAAATTGGACCCAAATCTCACATCCCAATCTACCTTTACAATATATTTAGGATCTGACCACTTCTCAGTACCTCTACTGCTACCAGTTTAGCCCAACGGACTAACATGTCTCACCTGAATTACTGCAATAGCCTCTTATCCCCCTGCTTCCACTCCCGCCCTCACTGATTTAAAGATAGGCGAGATGCTGGCCAGAAAAGAGCTGCATAGTAATAATAATGTTAGTGAATGTTGACTATGTGCCAGATTCAGTACTAGGCTCTGCCTATACATTGGCTCATTTATTCCCTACGACAAGATGTTAAGATCACATAGCTATTAAATATTGGAAGTGGGACTCCAACACAATCCAACCACTATTTATAATACCTCAGTTATGGTAAGCCACTCAGGAATGGTGGTCCAAGGGCCTGGCTTTGGTTCCTAAAGTGTTACTTGGTCACGTTGTTAATGTGGAGGGGTGACAGGACAGTGTTAAGGAAGGCTCTCTGATTTCTGGCATGAGCATTTGGGTGGGTGGTTGATAGTGCCATTTATTAAGTTAGGGAACTAAGAACCACTTATTGGGGAGAGTTGTTTAGCTGTGGTTTCCTAATTAGTAAAGTGAGATTTGATCTTGACTGGATTTTTTAGAAATGGACTAGATTTCTATGGTAGGATCTCTTTCAGATGTGTGAGATGCAACAGTTTGCATGGAGTTTCTGTGTGTGCCTTTGTCCTACTACCTGCAGAATAGATAGTGATCTTTGATTTTACTTAAAGTTTCTCTTAGGCAAAACTTTTAGAAGAAGCATTCAACATTAGTGTTGGAAAATTCCTACTTCAATTTCTTCCCTATTGTAGAAATTTCTTTTAAAGTCATCTTACCATTATTTGCTTGATATTTCTCAACATCTGCTCAACACTTTCAAAGGAGACTCATTCCAATATTAGGCTGTTTTTACTATTTAAAATTTATTCCATTTATCCATTGCCATTTCTTCAACAAATGTTTATTCAGTACCTGCTATGTGTGAGGTATTCTTCTAGGCACTGAGGGTACAGAAACAAACATTTGACAAAAATCTATGCCCTCACAGAACTTACATTTTAGTAGAAGAAGATAGACAATAAATTAAATAAGAAAATTATGTAATTTTATGTTACACACTAAGTCAATAGAGGAAAAGTGAAATAGAGTCAGGTGTGCAATTTTAAATACTTTGGTCTGGGAAAGCTCACTAAGAAAATGACATTTAAGCAAAGACTTGAAGTTAGCAAACCATGTGATTATTTGAAGGAAGAGTTGCTACAAAGGAAAAAATGGAATACAAAGGTTCTGCAGTGGGAGCATACCAAGCTGGCCAGTGTGGCTAGGGCTTATTGAGTAAAAGGGAGTAGTGAAGAGGTCAGATAGGTGCTGATGGAGAATTGGGGAAGGGGAGAAGTATCAAATTGTGTACCATGTAGGCCATTGCAAGGATTACGACTCGACTCTTGAGTGAGATGGAAAGGCACTGGAGGGTTTTTAACACAAGAGTAACATGAATTTACTTAAGTTTTAAAAGGGTTAAAACCCTCAGTTACTGGGTTGAGACTAGATAGTAGATGAGAAGGTAGAAGCAAGGACACCATTTAGGTAGCAGTAGCAATGATGTACATGAGAGAGAATGGCAACTTGGATCAGAGTGGTGGCAGTAGAAATAACGATAAGTAAACCATATGGCTCTGTTGAGAAAGTAAGACCAGCATGAATGATGATAGAGTAGATGTGGGATGTGAGGGAAGAGATTTGTGACCTAAGCAACTAGAAGGATAGAGTTCCATAAGTGAGATGGAGAGGAAATAGTGGAACAGGTTTGTGGGGGGGAGGTTAGGGCATGTTAAATTTGAGATTCAGATTAGATATCCAAATTGGAGATGAGGAGGAGGCATTTGGATGAATAAGTCTGGAGTTGATTGGGAATATAAATTTACAAGTCATCAGCATTTAGAATTAAAAGCCAGGATACTGAATGATAGCCCCAAGGGAGTATATGTAAATAGAAAATAGATGAGACCCAAAGACAGATCTGAGACACTCCAATAGTAAAAGGAAAGAGAGCTGAAAGATAAGCAGCAGAAGAAACTTAGAAGTGGTTAATGAGGAAGGAGAAAACCCAGAAGAATATGGTGTTTTGGAAGCCAGCTGAAGAAAGTATTTCAAGGAGAGAATGATCTGATATTAAGTACTGCTTACAGAGCAAGTAAAATGAGAAATGGACCTTGACTACTGTATTTGATTTAGCAACAGCAATTTAGTGACTTTATCAATTTGTGTATGGTAGGAGGAGAGCAAAAACTTGATTGGAGTGGATCAAGAGAGAATGGAAAGGAATGATTTAGAGACAGCAAGTATAGACAACTCTTTAAAGGAGTTTTGCTGTAAAGGGAAACAGAAATAGAGTAGTGACAATCTAGTATCAAGAGAACACTTGTGTTTTCTTAAATGTCTATTTTCATGCATTTACACATACCATTCCTTCGTTCTGGAATACCCTTGCTAATCTTGATACTTAACAAAGTCTTCATTTTTAAGACTTATTTATTCATTTAAAAAATATTCGCTATGGTGATGTTATTTGCCAGTCACTGTTCTGAGTTGGGCAATATGTCAATGACTAAAAAAGACAAAAATCCGTGGCCTGTGAAACATAAATTCTAGTTGGGGAAGACAGACAATAAGTAAATTCCCTAGTATATAAAATAATGATTTAAATGCTATGGAAAAAAATAAAGAAGGGTAAGAACTATCGGACATACTGGGGGAGGAGCTATAGTTTTGAAAGGTCTCACTGAGAAGGTGACATTTGAACAGAGACTTGAAGGAGAATGAATGAGCCATTTATGTACCTAGAAGAAGAGTTTTCTCTATAGAGAGGATAACCAACAAAGGACCTGAGGCTGAAGAGTGCCTGATGTATGCCAGGAGTAGTGAGATCTTGGTGGCCAGTGTGTCCTGAAAGGAAGGGGCTAGGGGAGAGAAAGAGTTCAAATTAGAGAAATGGGAAGAAAAAGAGTTGGTGGAGTGACTTCTAGACCGTTGTAAGGATTTTGGATTTGACTGAGAGAAATGGGAACCATTGAAGAGTTTTAGATTGTATAGGCCAATAAATATACTGTAGTGAGGGCAGGAGTGGGAGTAGGGGGATAAGAGGCTATTGCAGTAATTCAGGTGAGACATGTTAGTCTGTTGGGCTAAGCTGGTAGCAGTGGAGGTACTGAAAAGTGGTCAGATCCTAAATATATTGTAAAGGTAGATTGAGATGTGACATTTGGGGCCAGGGCAACTGAAAGGATGGAGTTGCATTAACTGAAATGAGGACGGCCCTGTGAGTGAAGCAGGTTTGGGCTGTATAAGTTCGATATACCTGTTTTTGTCATCCAAGTAGAATTGTGAGTAGACAACTATATGAATCCAGGGAAGTTCAGGAAAGACATCCAAAGTGAGGACATAAATTTTTGAGTTCTTGGCTAGGTAGTATTTTTGCCAGGACTGTGAACTCACCAAAGGAGTGAGTGTAGATAAACTGAAGCGATCCAAGGAGATAACCTATTATAGGCTGGAAGAATCTGTAAAAGAGACAAGAAGGAACAGCGAGTTAGGGAGAAAAAAACTCAGGAGTCTGGTGTTCTGGAAGCCAAGGATAGGTAGTTTTTGAAGAGGAAGGAGAAATTAACCATGTTAAATGCTACTTACAGATCAAGTTAGGTAAGGACTGAGAATGGACCATTATCAGATTTAGCAGTATGGAAGTCATTAGAAACCTCGGCAAAGCAGTTTTGGAGTAGTCAAAGTGAAAGTGAAAGAATTGGAAACTGTGATTTTAGACAGTTCTTTCAAGGAGTTTCGCTGTAAAAGGACCATGAAAAAAATGAAGTGGTAGTTTGAGGCTGAAGTAGGAAGGAGAGAGGGTTTTTTATGATGAAGGAGTATTTCTGTATATTGATGAGACTGATCTAGTGGAGAAGGAAACAACTGGTGATTTAGAGGAAAGAATTGTTGGAGTTATGCCTCTGAGGAGGCAGGAAGGCATGAGATCCCATACACTGACCTCTATGTAAGTAAGGCAAGCTTGGCCTTAGAAAGATAGATAATTCACCCATAATAATATGAGAAAAGACAAATGCACAAATAACAGATGATAATGGGTAGGTAATTGTGATGGGAATTTTGACAGAGGCCTCTACAGATTGCTTTAGTGTTCTCAGAGAGTAACAGTGAGCCGGGATATGAAATTACCAATTTATAAAGAGGAGCAATCCAGGAGTTGGCAGTTGACAATAGCACTGAAGGGTAAGGGGTAATAGAGCCAAAAGACATATTCAAGCTGGAGGATACTTGTCTGCAAGCGTGAATGTGGTGGCATCTGTCAGGAGAGCGATGGGAAGAATAAAGGTTATTGCCTGACAGGACTTTAGAAGAATCCACATCCTCCCGGGAGAGGCTGGTTGGGGAAGATTAAGGGAATGTTTAGGGAAGAGGTTTTGATGATGGTGGATTGTAAGGACTTCACAAGTTGGGCAAGGGTGATATATGGAGACTGTATTAATTTCCTGAGGCTGCTGTAAACAATTACCACAAACTGGGTGGCTTAAAATAAACAAAATTTATTTTCTCATAGTTCTGGAGGCCAAAAGTTCAAACTCAGTATCACTGAGCTGAAATCAAGGTGTCTGAAGGGCTGCCGTACCTCTGGAGGCTCTAGGGGAGAATCCATTCCTTGACTTTTTCAGTTTCTGGTGGCTGTCAGCAGTCCTTGCCTGCTGCCTATGTCAGTCCAATCCCTGCCTCTTTTCTGTAAGGACACCAATGATGGCATTTGGGGGCCTACCTAGATAATCCAGGATAATCTCCCCATCACAAGCTCCTCAATCACATCTGTAAAGACCCTTTTTTCATTTTAGGTTTAGAATGACATGGATTAGGATCTCTTTGGGGGGTCATTTTTCAGCCTACCACAGGACCAAATGAGGGATGTGCAGAGCTGAAGGGGGATTAGGGTGAGGGAGATAAGGATGACCTGAGAGGCTGGAGATTCTTGTGACTGATGTAAAGAGTATAGTGAGGTTAGTCCTGCGGATTAAAGGTAGATAGTAGTGGAGAACTTGAGTACTGGGGATTAGGCAGGGGCAGGTGCAGGTGACAAGGTTTCTTCTAGATCTTTGCAGATGGAGGTAAGGAGCCTTGGGGAAGGGATAGGGGCTTGGGAAGTTGGTCTTGTCCAAGTACATGGCTTAACATCAACTGTACTTTCTAAGTAAAACCTTTTCTGATTCTTTTCCCCAGCCCAGACAGAGTTATCACTTTCTATGCATTGTGTATTATATTCATTATTCTTGTCATATTGTAATATGATTATCTTCTCATTTCCATTATTAGATTTTAAGGTCTAATAGACAAATAGACAAGTTTAAGATTTTCTGCCTACTGCCCCCCATCCCCAACAAATAAGATTAGATATATCTCTTCTGTGCATATCTCTGAGGTTACACTTTTTACATTGTATCAATATAGTGCCTGTACCCATATTGGATTATGCATTTCTATACAGTCATATCTTGTTTTCTGTCCCCAGTCTAGCCTAGCTCTTGGCATGTAGATGTAACAATATATATTTAAATGAAAAAACAAAGTCATTGAACTTTTTTGGATTCACTTTAAAACCAATTTTGATTATATTCATGCTTTTCAGATTTTATACAACAGGTTTTGTAAACACTTATGTACAAACAAATTATATCACTTAAGTTATGATTGTTACTTTTTAGAATGTTTCAGTGAACCTTTTTCTTTTATTAATCAGTACTGTGATTGATTTGTTTCTTTCTCTCTTTCTCTCTCTCTCTTTCTTCAGTGATGGAGTACCCAGTGACAGAAACTGGCTCACTTTTTACCTCAGGAATTAAGAGACATGTGAAAGACAAAAGAATTTCAAGGACTGCTAAATTGAATGTTTCTCTTGCTTCAAAAATCAAAACAAAAATAATAAGTAAGCACCATTAGTTTTAAAGTATACTCACATTATTACTTTTCCCTGGAGAATTAGTAGAGTATTTGGTACTTTATTTTATCACGTATAGACAATGACTGTTTTTGTTAACTGATGGTTTTTTTCCACTCTGTTCTTCCTATCTCCTTTAACTCCTATTGAATGGTTATGATTATTTACCCTCAGCTGTGACAGCTCAGTTTTCAGCAGTGAGGCTGGTATAGCCTAAGGCAGCTACCTCCTATCCTACCAATGTGACATTCCTAGAAAAGAGGTTTAAAAAAGTGGCAAATTGTTCTGGCATGCTGTAGCAATTGAATGATGGATGATCTAGAGGTGGTTGGCCCAGACAAGGTGCTGTAGTGGGTGATTTTATATGGCCAGAGCTCCTTATGAGGACACTAAGCACTTTAGAGATGGGTTTCACGGATTCTGGAGCTAAGATGTCAGAAGGAAGGGAGGTGGAGGGAAGGGGAAAAACTCCCCAAGATAAATTTTCATTACTTTGGAAAATTATCTTACTGGTTCATACCTATCTTAGCAGGAGCAGGAGAGATTTCCTGCTAATATAGTACCTGGGAAGGGTGACTGTGTACGTTATGAAATAACTGAACCTTCTGAGTATCTTTAAATTATAATGTTGCTCCTACTCAGGTCTTGAGGGCCATGTGGTGTATTAGACCACCTCCTATAGTGGCTATTTCCTGTTCTCTTTGGCAGAACCATTGCATTCTCACTGTTAGGAAAGAATATACTGAGTTTGAGGAATGCAACAGGAAAATGTTATTATTTTTTACCTTCTGTAAGTCTTAAACTGGTTCTAGTCTCTCTCCATTTGCTATGTGAAAGATGGTTGGCTGTCTGAAACTACTTTCTGTGTGCCAAAGATAAAGTACTTTTTTAGAAATTGATTTTTAGATGCCAGACTTTCTCTGAGTATTTAAAAAACATTATTACTTTTATAAACATTTTACATATACTATATTTTTATTCAGTGGGATACGTTATTAAATAGTGGCATATAAATTAAAACTATGAAAATAAGAGTATGCTCTAAGTGTTCAAAGGGAACACACTACATTTAAGATGAGCTTTACCAAAGAATCCACAATTAAATTTCTTTCCTAACAACAGAAAAGCATTTCTAATTTAAATTATGTTTACATAGTGCTTGTAGAGAGAAGGGGTCAGGTTTAGATTGTAATAGATGCCTACATATAAGAGGTAGGATATTGAGAATGAAGGTAGAATATCGTACAGGGTTTAGATGATCTATCCAACATCATAGTGAGTATGCTCCCTTTCACTCACGGTCTTGAAAGATGGTCTGTAGGGGCATTAGCTAATTTGTTCAGTTTTGGAGCCACAGAAACTGGCTTTAAGTTTTTCAGATTGTCTACCCTAATTCCTGTGGGGCATCTCCAGTTAGAGCTGCAAGACCAGCTTCTCCATTCTACCTCCTAGTCCAGGGTAGAAAGGAAAGTAGGGCAACAGGTATTAAGATTTAATTTTTGTGACTGATCTAATTATCTAGAATGCTGTGTCTTTTTACTTGAGTCCTCTTATTCCTAACTCTGTATTCACAGACATTATGCATTCCTCAGGTGTCTTTTATTCATCATCTTCTATCTAGCTTTTATTTCTTCATTTCCAAACTCTAAGTGCATTTTTTTCAAAACTATGTATTGTCATTCTCTTCTTTTCCAACCTTCAATTAAAACTTATAAAGTGAAATACATTTTGTCTAAAATAGTTTTATTAAGGAATAGGAAAATTTATTAAGGTATATGTTTAATATTAACCATTAAAATTTTTTTACAGACAATTCTTCTATTTTCAAAATATCTTTAAAGCACAACAACAGGGCATTAGCTCAGGCTCTTAGTAGAGAGAAAGAGAATTCTCGAAGAATTACAACTGAAAAGATGTTACTGCAAAAAGAAGTGGAGAAACTGAATTTTGAGAACACATTTCTTCGCCTAAAGCTAAATAATTTGGTATGGAAACTATAATGTGCTTGAATTCTAAATTACAACTAAAATCTTAACTATATTGTTATAGAAGTTCTAAAAATGTTTTTTGAATCTCTAATTATTATAAAAAATATTGTAAGGGTGTGCTATGTGGGAAAACTGTAATAAAATAGGTGTCTTAAATCTACATTCTAAATGTGTACTTGTGGCTCTGCAAAACAGTATAATATTTTGATCAACATTTGATTGCTTATCATAAGCAAAGCTTGGTGCATTAATACATTTTAACAAGTCGGGCGTAATTCCTCCAGTGAATTGAAAAGAAGGGAGTTCCCAGAGTATTTGTATTTTCCTTTAATCCCAAGCATTTCACTGCCTGCAAGCCAACTAGATCAAAGATTGTAGTAGTTGCATTTCCTTTCAATTCCCAACTCTGTCCATGGACAGAGCAATAAGAGCCAATGATTAGCTAGGCTGCGACTATACCTCTAACTCTCAAATGAGTAGAAATTAATTTAAAAATGGAAAAACGACCTACTGTAGTTCAGGGTAAAAGCCCTGTGGCTGACAAGCTATGTTCAGTTGCCATCTAATATGTTATTATAAGAAGGTACAAAAATGTTTATAAGAAAATTTATAATTGATAGTTCAAAAGCATTCAAAAATGAAAAAAAGTATTCAAAATGTGAGTATATATGTGTCTATCTGAGTGTCTATTTGAACTATACAGTATTGCACCTTTTTAGCTCAATGTGATCTCAATTTTTAGCCCAGTGTTATATCAGTTATTTTCTAAGACTTCTCAACTGATGGTATTCGTAAATTTATGATATAATAAACTTCAAATCTTGATTAAAAAGAGGTCTTTTTTTTTTACACATATAGAATAAGAAGCTTATAGAAATAGAAGCACTCATGAACAATAACATGATAACTGCAATTGAAATGAGCACTCTTTCTGAGGTAAGTAGAATTTGTAAGTAGTATAATTTTTTAGCATTACTGAGAATAATTGAGATTGGTTAAGTAGCATCAAAGTGAGAGATTCATATCTTAAACTTTGTGCAAAGGAATGATGATAATATTAACTGGTTATTGAAATTTTTATATAAAAATTAGGTTTTGATTACAAGTAACAGAATTAGACAACTCAGGGGAACATAATGGCCCCAAAACAGACTGAAAAACATAAGATACATTAGTAGAAAGGTATTTCAAATCAGGAAAGAATTCATATTATTAGAAAAAGATGGATACAATAGGAAAACTGAGGAAAAAAATAGAGGCAGATCCTACTTTATATCATTCTCTAAAATAAATTCTAGATGGATTTAAATGTAAAATAGGAATTATATAAAATGAGAAGAAATTATGAATTAATTCACATTAGGTAGGAAAGGCCTTTCTGTGCCTAGAAATAAAGATAGAAACCATAAAGGAAGCTATCGATGGATTTTCTCAAAAAAAAATTTTTAGGCTAAAAATCATGACAATAAAAGGTAAATTGAATTGAAGACTGAGAAAATTAAGCAGATGGCAGATAAAATATTCACAATAGTTAAGAAGTTATAATCTAGCATGAGCAAAATAAAATCAATAGAAAAATCAGGAAGTAAGGACCAAATATTAGTGAAATTATCTCAGTTATCTAAATAGGAAAACAAATTGTTGAAGGAATAACTAATGAGAAGGTAAAATATGTATGATACGGAAAGTGAAGAAAGGTTAGTGAAGTTCCAAGTGTAGATAAATTTCTTGATAGATTCTAGAAGCAGTTTAGTGCTTCAGAGGATGGCTTTTTAAATGAGATTGTCTATATTTAGATCCAAGCTCTGCTACTTCCTGGTTATGTGACCTTGGCCTTAATCTCTTTGAACCTCAGTGGCTTCATCTACATGGTATGGATAATGGCAGTATATCTACAAAGAGTTAGTGTAAGAGTTTAATGTGGCTAGCATGTGTCCTCACAGTGCAATAAATGTTAGCTATCATTACTTTTTTTATTGTATATATATTTTCCCAATTTTCTGCAAATTTTCCTTTTAAAAACTTTTAAAAGTCATTTATAAGTCTCTTAAATGCATAGTCATTGTGGTAAGAAGATATGAACTCTTTCAAACTGTGTGGTCAATGTTTAGCTCCTTTGTCAGAATTTTTATAAAAGCTAGGCAAAGAATAGGTACTTTGTTGTCTAACTTAATCCACATTTGGATGAAGAAAGAATTTGTGTAAATGTCCCTGTGGAATAATTTTTTTCAGGAGGTTTAGTTACTAGCATTATAAATTTGATTCCTAGGACAACCAGTCTGCAGAGGTGTGCCGTATACTTAGCACTCTCTGAGGAAGAGATGCTTTTCACTTTGTGGGTAGATAGCTGAGTCAGGGAGGGGGCTTTGTTTTGCTGCTCAGCTTGCAGAGCTGAATTGAATTGCCTTGAATAAATTACTAAGACTAGAATCAGATATCGTGGCGGGGAATGCAGAGTCACTATAGGAACTGACTTGGAGAGAAAGAAGCTAATTGGCAAGATGTGGACAAGGGGGAGGGTCATGTCATCCAACTTCAAGGAACTTCGGAGAACAGGTAGCCCTAAAAAACATTGCTCAGATGTTCGTTGTGAGTTATGCGATATAAATCCCCTTTTCTTGTTGAACTCTTTAAAAAATTATTATTAAAGTCAACATTGCTCTGAGATGCTTTTTGTATGGTTCTCTTTGGAGAAATTGAAGAGGGCTGAGATCAGCATCTGAATATAGGAAAAATAAAAAACAGGATCAGTAGATGAAGTAGCTGAAGGGTGAAGGGACAGCATACTACTTCGGTGTTCACTTTCTTGGACTTCTAATTACTTAACAGACTAACTTGCATATCAAGTTTTGAAATTTTCTTTTTAGTTGAGGATGGGGAAGACAATGGGTAATAGAGTGGTATTGGAACAGTATTAAAAAGTATAGAATGATGTCTCACACATGCTTTGTTCTGCCTCTGGCTACTTCTCCATTCTCTTTTCCCCACACCTCATACACGTAACTGCTTTCATTTGTTTCTTTGTATTAAAACAAAAATATATGAATGTTTTCTTAATTTTCTTTCTTACACCAAAGATAACATACTATACCAACTGTTCTCTGCTTTCTTTTTTTTTATGTAACGTATCTTGACTATCTCTCCATTTTTTTTTTTTTTTAGCCTTGCTCAGGATAGATCTAGAGTGGACTTCTAATCTATCTAACTAGTCTTCTGCTGTTGGACACTTGGGTTGTCTTTTGCTGTTGGCTTAGGATGCAAAAATATTGTCTCCCATCTTCCAAAAAAAAAGAAAAGAAAACCTCATACTCCACTTTCGGCTCCCACCCCCAGCTACTATCTCATTTTCCTCTTTACCTTTATTGCAAAATTCCTTTTTAGCACCTGCGGTGATGATCATACAGTCTTTCTTTATAGGTGTATTAATATGACTTATTTTAGTAGATTTCCTAATTTTGCAATTCTGGAATAAACTTCAGAAATGATTTATTTTTCTTTAATGTGCTGCTGAAGTCTTTTTGCTAGGATTTTGTTTAGGAATTTGTTATTGCTCTTCATAACTGAGGTTTCTTTGAAGTTTTCTTTTTATACAATCTTTAGGCACTGATAAAAATGTTACATACATTAAACTCATAAAAAGAATTTGGATGTTTTCCGATGCTCTAGAAAAATGATATAGTATTAGAATTATTTCTTCTTTAAAAGTTTCATAGAATTCTCCTGTAAAACTGTCTGGAACTGGGTCTTTCTTGGTTGGGGGTCATTGTTCTTTGTTAACTTAAACTTAAGTAATTAGGAAATTTTCTTTCTCCCTTTTGTGGTTAGTTTTATTCAATTTTATTTTCTTAGAAAGATACTGATTCATCCCTGTTTTCAAAATGATTTGCCTAGTGTTGACCAGTGTAGTCTGTTACTCTTTTAATTTTGTCTGTGTTGTATTTTCCCAGTTGATTAGTTTTGTGTATTTGAGCTTTCCCCTGTTCCCTCCCACCCCTACTAAATTAGGTGGTTGTGGTTTTTCTTTTTCTTTTCTAAAAGAGCCATCTTTTGGATTTAATTTTGAGTTTTACTATTTTGGTCTTTCAAACTTATTAATTATTGCTTTTATCTTTAGTAGTAAGTCCTTCTGCTTTTCTGCGGTTTATTGTTACCTTTCTAACTTTGAGTCAGAAGCTTATTTCATTTATTTTTCATTCTTAACTGTAGGTAATGTGTTATTTCTCTCACATTGCTCTCAAGATTTTTGTCTTTGTCTTTAGTTTTGAGAAGTTTGATCACTATGCTGTGTCTTGGCATAGATTTCTTGGAGTTTATCCATTATAGAGTTCACTCAGCTTGAATATACAGATTAATTTCCTTTGCCAAATTTGGGGCATTTTTTAGCCATTATTTCTCCAAAACTTTTTCAGCCCTGTCCAAGTCTTTCTCCTTGCCTTCTGGGACTCTGATGACATGACTGCTGTACCTTTTGTTATAGTCTCACAAATTCCTGATCCTGTGGTAACTTTTTTTCAGTCTCTTCTCTCTTGTTCAGATTTGGGTACTTTCTATTGCTCTGTCTTCAAGTTCACAGGTTATTTTCCCCCTCTGTCCTTTCTATTTTGCTATTGAGTTTTTAATGTTTTATTTTAGTTATTTTTTAGTTTTAAGTTTTCATTTCATTTTTCTTTACATCTTCTATTTATTTGCTGAGACTTTTTTTCTTTGCTGAGATTTTTTGTTGTTGTTTTAAGCATGTTAGTAATTGCTTATTGAGGCATTTTATGATAGTTGCTTTAAAATCATTGTTTGAGAATTCCAACATCTATATCATCTTGATGTTGGTGTCTGTTGATTGTCTTTTTACACTCAAACTTGATTTTCCTAATTCTTGGTGTGATGAGTTATTTTTTATTATATTGTGAATATTTTAGGTATTATATTAGGAGACTCCAGATCTTATTTAAACTTCTGTTTTAGCAGGTTTCCTCTGACACTGTGCCTGTGATAAAGGGAAGAGCCATGTACCGCTAAGCGGGGATCAAAGTTTAGGTTCCCCACTCAGCCTCTGTTGACACACTGGTGGTGAGAGGTGTCTCCTAAATGATGGATAAGGCTGGGAGGTCAGGCTGACACCACCCTCATGTGCCTCATGACTTTTGTAGCCTCTGTTAACACCATGATTGGAGGGAAATTGAAGGGGGAAGTTATTACCTTTAAAGAATAGTGAAAATCCTGGCTTTCTGCTAGACCTCTTTTGTCACCCCCAGAGGAGAGGGAGAGGGGCTTCTTGTACTACCAAGTTAGAATGGAAGTCTAGAGTCCCCTGTGTTCTTCACTGATACTGCTGCGGGCTTTTTACCACCGGCTGCCCCAGCTCTCCCCTTGGGCTTTTCTGATAATACCCCTGGTTTGGAGAAGAGTTTCCTTATTATAGCCTGGTGCGTGTGGAAGTCTAGGCTCCCCATTTGACTATTGCACCTTCGTCAAAAATTAATTGAGCAAATATATGGATCTATTTCTGGAACTCTGCTCTATTTTGTTGATCTATTTATCTGTTTTTATGCTAATACTATATTGTCTCGATTACAATAGTCCTCCAACTTTGTTCTTCCTTTTCAAAGTTGTTTTAGCTATTCTAGAACCTTTTCATTTTCATATTAATTTTAAAATTAGCTTGTCAATTTGGCCATACCCTTGTTTCTATTGCATGTTAGCACTGTAATAGGAAAACATGGTTGTATGTTGCCTAATTTTGTAGTCTTTTTTAAATAATTAAACATGTTTAGAAAATGTGAGAAAATTTAGCAACTATAAACAAAATTTAAAAGATATATTAAAATTACACAAACTTTGAATTTTAAAAGACTACTTAAAAATATATATCATAGAATCCAATAATATATCACATGTAGACATTAGTGTATTGCATATATAGCTGACCTTTGAACAGCATGGAGTGCAGGGGTTAGGGGTACCTACCCTCGCACAGTCAATCTACACGTCAGTTAAGTAGGCCTTCTGTCCAACAGTGGATTGAAAACACGGAATATGTAGAGATATGGTGTATGTGTGGGTTACACGTGTTATTTATTCGTATGCCTCAGAGAAAGTTTGGGAGGTCGTATACCAAAAATAGTGGTGATTATCTTTGGACCTGTGTTTAGCCTGTCGTCACATTATTCTCATTGAACTATTGAAGACTAATGTAAGAATTTTTTTTTATTACTGTTGCTATCCTTGTATAATTTAGCACTTTAATAAGAAACATATTTAATGGGATTAAAATTTCTGTTCATTTTCTTTATCCTTTTCAAAAATAGTTCCATCAGAGTCCCTTTCTACTGCCAGCTAGCAAGAAGAAACGGGTTAGTAAACAGTGCAAGTCTATGCGTCTTCCATTTGCAAGGTAATCACTTCAAAACTTAGTTAAATATTAACTTGCACACTTCTACCTAAGTTGGGCTTGGAATGTTTTTATTTGGTTCACTTCCTTGAAACATAGAGAAACACTTAAAAATAAATAATGAAATACTTGTTAGCATTGTACCAGTAAAAGAAATTAAAGATGTAATATAATAATATTAAGTTTTATATTTTGAAACATAAAACTTTCCCATAGACTTTAGAGAAGAAGGAGGCACAGATGGACCTTTAGTTACATGAGTTTGAATTACGCTGGTTTATAGTATTTAGATTTTTATATAACACAGTAATTATTTGTGTGTGTTATACAATGTTTGGGTTTCATCAACCTATAGCTTCATACTTGGTAGGAATGAGAACGTTTGTAATATCTTGCTACAGGTTATATCTTCAGGGCTTCAAGGTAACTTACCTTCATTCGATAACCAAGTTCATCTTTAGTATCCTGCTACTCTTTAGTTCTTTTCCTTCTTTATCCACAGGTCACTACTAGCCTCATGTTTTCTGCTGGATAAACCTGATACCTTTGTTATGTTGCAGACTGCCCTAAGCTTTAAAATTAATTTCTTCATTGTTATTCCCCTGACCAAAATTCTCATTTCTTAATTAATTTGATTATAAGTCATAGTAAACACCCTATTTCAAACCTGTCATTTTAAAGACAGTATGTGAGGTCCAGAGAGGCAAAATGACTCAGTGAATTCATAGTATTGACCAAAATCCACTTGTTTTTTCAGACATGTTCTTTCTGTTATATAACTTATAGATTTATTGTTTTTATTTAAGTGCACAAGTAAATTCACAAATATATTGAAATGTTATTTGTACCATAGTAAAAAATTCTTGTATCTACTGTCACTCTCTATTCTTTCTAATTTGTTGCATTATTTTGCCTATTATGCTGTGCTAGCACCACATTGCACCAGTACATTTTAATTACTGTAGTTTCAAAATAGTACATTTTGTTGTTTTCTAATTCCTTTACTTAGTTCTTTTTCAAGAATATCATGGCTGTCATTATGTATGCATTGTTTCATATAAACATATGAATCAAGTGTCAACTTGCCCTCTATAAAGTTTCATTGTATTTTTCAAGTAGACTTTTGTTTGAAGTATAATATACATTAGAAAAGTGCAAAAATCTTTAGAGTGTGGTGAATTTTCACAAGTGAACACTGTGGTGTAACCAATATCCAGACCAAGCAACAAAACATTACTAGTACCCTAAATACATTACTGGTATCCCTTTCTAGTGACTGCTCACCACCCATTCAGGGATGAATATCTTGACTTCTAACATCATTAATTAATTTTGCCTAGTTTTGCATTGCACTTCATATAATGAAGTTCTTTTTAAAATCTGACTTATATATGTACATAGCTGTATCTATTAATTCTCCCCTTCCCCTTACAGTTACTACTATGTGTGTCTTTTTAAGAAAAATCTTTACTAATCGGAAGGTTAGAGATGCTCTTCTGTGTTGTCTTTTAAAAGCTTTATTATTTTCCTTTTCACATTTAGATCTTCAGTCTCCCTAGAATTTGGGGTATAATGTGAGGGAAGGATCGTAATTTCTTTTTTTCATGTGGAAATCTTGTTGATCTTGTACCATTTATTTAGAAAAAACAGTCCTTTTCGTACTTCATTGCCGTGTCATCTGTATCATAAATCAGATGCCTGGATGTGTTTGGGTCTGTTTCTGAACTCATTGTCCTAAGTCTTGATATTTGATAGTGCGAATCTCCATTTTATTTTTTTGTTCTTGAATATTATCTTGGGTATTCTTTGCCCTTTGCATTTCCATGTGAATTTTAGAATCAACTTGTCAATTTACATACATGTGTGTAAACATACATGTTCTCTTGTGGAGTTTTGATTGGGATTAAAACATTCATTATAGTAAGAGGAAAAAAGAGAAAAGTAGTATTTTCTCAATAGTGACAGGAAAAGTATTTGATAAAATTCAACAGCCATTTATGAAAAAACTTTTAGCAAACTAGGAGTATAAGGAAACTTCTTTAATCTCATAAGAAAAATCTACAAAAACCCAAGAGCAAGTATATTAAATAATGGGAACACAATAAGAATGCCCTAAGTTTCTCCTGAAGCCAAATACTATTTGTAAACCCATGAATTCTCCAATTAGGTACATACTCAACAGAAATGTGTACATATATTTCAAAAGGCATATACATAGCAGCACTATTTGTAATAGACCAAAACTAGAAAATATCACTGTTATTTGGGTTCATTTGCTGGTCTCCTCCCACTTTCTTTGATATTACTCTTCATTCTTTGAATTCAAAAAGGTCAGTTTATCAGATTATTTCTGTGGGTTTCTATCGTCCCCTCCATAGATTTAACTACTCCAGGAATATGGCTTTAGTTTACATGGATGCATTTTAGAAACAGCAAACTTCATTTCACAGATAACTTTACATAGCTGTACTTGTTTGAAACCAAAGGAAGAGTTTCAGGTACTCTATAGAATTAATTATAGGAAAACTATAAACATTATATTATATATGAGTATTTGTAAGTATGTCTGAACTTTATTCATTTCAACCAGTGATTATATCAGTTATCTCCTTTGAGGGGGTCACTGGGGCTATAGGGATAAGCATTCTTGTTTTCCTCCAAGTTCTGTACTATTAGAAACTACCTACTTCCTACCTATAATTGTCCTCATTGAACACAGAGGAGGTTTGTGGTTGGATCTTAAGTGCAATATGGAAAGAACTATTCATGTAATTTTCTAAATTTTGTAGAATACAAAATTTTTCATTTATTCCCACTTTAGGATTCGATTAACTTCAAATGATGATGATGATGATGATGATGATGATAAAGATAAAGAGAAGATGCAACGTGATAACAATATTCTATCAAAAACATCACCTGATGTTCCTTCTTTGGTATCAACAAGACAACCTTTATCAACTCAGGATAATTTGGAATTGTTGTGTATTAAAGAAAATAATCAGAATGTGTGTGGTTTAGATGATTCAAAATATAATTCTTCTGTTATTGATATACTTCCCAAAGGTGAGCTTTTTTTAAAAAATTCATTTCAAGTATCAGTTACAGTCATCAAATTTTAAATAGTTACAGTCATCAAATTTTCTTCTTGAGGGCCATGGTATATAAACAGTTAATAAGTTAGGTCTCTTATGTTACAGATTTGCTAACTTCTACCATTTTAAATTGCTGATGAAAAATTTAATTTAAAAGCAAATATGCTGACAAATGTCAGATCCACAGTGGCCTGATACTGTTACTCAGGGAGTGATATTTAGAAATGAGCCGGCCTAAAGAGCTTTATTCTTGGTATCTTAGCTTATGAATTGAAAGATACAATTATATTTATATAAATTTATATATACATATGTAAATTTTATCTTCTACTATTCATAGATATGGAAATTGGGGGTCTACATAGGTGTAGTGACTTTTTGAAGATTGTAACTAAATAGTGGTAAAGCAAAAACTTGAGCCCGTGTAATGGCTGAGCAAGAGAAAATGATAACGCTTATATTTTATTTACATGATATTTCAAAATAATCTTGCTGTGTAGTCTGGCTTATCTATTTGTCATAGATTTTCCAATTGGAATATGGAACTATATATTGAATTTAGAGCTCTTTCTAAAAATTTATGTGAGCGTGTATATGTATAATTTATAGGAACTTTAGGTGTCAGCTGATAGCTTTTTGATAGTAATCCTTATCAGAGTTGTCACTGTTATTTGGGTTCATTTGCTGGCCCCCTCCCATTTCAGAAATATATGCTAATGGCTTTACTGTTGGTTATACTCCATTCTACTGTTGGGGCCAAGGAAGAGTGAATTCTCAGAATATATTTTCCATAGATATAAATGTAAAATGTGACTTATGAATATTTGATCATTTCTACCTTATTTTTTATCTGCATAGATTCTTCATAACATAAACATCTGAACAGAACACATTGTTAGAAATCTTCTCTTTGAAATAGCTTGATTTCTAAATATTTTTTAATAATATATTTCTTTTCATTACTTAGTTTTGAATTTTTGTTTCCATTTATTTTATAGAAAGCCATTCCTACTCAGACCAGAGTTCCAAGAGTTCTCTAATGAGTGAGATGAAAAATGCCCAATCTGTCAGCCACAGAGAGGAGAAACCATCGCTTAGTAATGTAACTAAAAGGAAAAGACGTGTATCATTTCCAGAATCAAATAATCCTTCTGCAGACAATCCCTGTGTGACAGATGTAGATCAACAATGGATTTCAAGTCCAGTATTAAATTGGAATAATGACATAAATGATCATACTAACGAAATGAATATTAAAATGCAAAGAAACATACAGTGCCTTCCTAACTCATCTGAGTCTGCAGGTGAACCTACTGCTGAGAGCGTGAATCAAATTCAGGGTAATGATGACTTTCAATTGCAGAAAACTGTGTATGATTCTGACATGGATTTAACTGCTAGTGAAGTAAGCAAAATTGTTATAGTTTCAACAGGCACTAAAAATAAAAGTAATAAAAAAACAAATGACTGTGGAATCAAAACTTTCAGAAAAGTGAAAGATTCAAGTTCTGAAAAAAAGAAAGAAAGATCAAAGAAACAATTTAAAAATAGTTCAGATATGAATGTTGAGGAAAAGATTGAAAATGAACCAGAAAAAAGATCCGTTGGCCTGAATAGCAAAGGAGATTCAGAAGATCCAAATTTTATCTTAAACACTGAACAGCTGACTCAGTTGAACATACCAGAGACAATAACCCTTCATAATGGCTTTGATCAAGACGACAAACAAAGTACAGAGAATAGTAAGAAAAAGAAAAGAATACATGTAACAAATGAGCAAGAGGAAATATACTCTTTCTCCCAAAGTTCAGATAAATTCCAGCAGGAGAGTAAATTTAATACGGGTCAGAGTTTTCCAGCTTACAATAAAAATAAAGCTTCCAGACAGACATTTGTGATTCATAAGTTAGAAAAAGCTAACTTTTTTCTAAGCCAACAGGATAAAGAAACCATTTCTGAAAACCAGGATGTCACAAATGAATTTCAAACAGCTGATCTTCCCACCAAACATAATGGAAATTTATGTGATTATGAGGCACAAAATACGTTGGATTTGAAAAAGCATGTCACCGATATGCAACCTGCTCAGCAAAAGGAATCAAAAATAAATAAGCTTAAGCAGAAAATAAATCGGAAGACAGAAATAATTTCTGAAACAAACCAAATATATAGGAATAATGATAAAGATGTGCATGGCCTGGAGAAAGATAACTTTTCCTGCCAAACCCAAGAGGATAAGGAAACCTCTGGAGCAAACCTACCAGTTTCAAATGAGTTTCAAAAACCTGCTCCTTGTACCAGTGGTAACAGAAACCTGTGTGATTCTGAGCCCCAGAATGTGCAGGATTTACAAAAGCCAATCACCGATGTGTTCTCTGTTCAGCAAAATGAATCAAAAGTTAATAATCTTACAAAGAAGGTAAATCGTAAGACGATGATGATTTCTGAAGTGAATCATTTATATAACGACAAAAATGTGTATTGTCCAGAAAAAGGTAACCCTTTCTTCCTAATGAAGAAGGATAAAGAAATCATCCCTGTAAATCTAGATGACGCAAATGAGTTTCAAACACCTGCCCTCTCTACCAAAGACAGTGGAAACCTATATGAGTATGAGACTCAAAATGTTTGGGGGGTGAAAAAGCATGTCCATGATATGCAAACTGCTTGTCAAAATGAATCAAAAATAGATAAGCTTAGGCAAAAGGTATGTCGGAAGACAGAAATAATTTCTAAAATCAACCAAATATGTGAGAATGATGACAAGGAGATGCGTGACCTAGAAAAAAATAACTTAATTTCTTTAATCCAAATGGATAAAGAAATTATTCCTGAAAACCTAGAAGATCCAAATGAGTTTCAGATGGCTGATTCTTCCACCAAAAGGAATAAAAACCTCTGTGATTACGATGCTCAAAACATTTGGGGGGAGAAAAAACATGCTACTGATATGCCACATGCAATGCAAAGTGGATCAAAAATAAATAAAAGGATTAGGCACAAAGGAAATCGGAAGACAGAAATAATTTTAGAAATGAACCAAATAGATGAGTTTAATAACAAAGGTGTGCATGACCCAGAAGAAGGCAACTTCATTTCCCTAACTCAAAAGGATAAAGAAACCATTTCTGAAAACCAGGACGTCACAAATGAATTTCAAACAGCTTATCTTTCCACCAACAATAATGGGAATTTGTATGATTATGAGACCCTGAATATGTTGGATTTGAAGAAACATGTCACTGATACGCAATCTGCTCAGCAAAATGATTCAAAAATGAATAAGAAGCTTAGGCAGAAAGTAAATAGGAAGACAGAAATAATTTCTGAAACAAACCAAATATATGGCAATAATCATAAAGATGTGCATAGCCAAGAAAGCTATACAAAAGATCTTGATTTTAAAATAAATGAATCTAGACAAAGACTTGAACACCAAGGTTTTATCAGTGGATACTGTATGGAAATCAATAGTAATGAAAAAGAAAATTGTGATCAAATTTCAAATTCTTATAGACAAGTTAAAAAGCATGGGGAAGAATCATCAGGCAAGGCAAAGAACATTTTGGCAAAAGGTAAAAACAAACCTATTTTGCAATTAACAGATTCTTCACAGATGTCTCTCTCCCTGGAATCAAGTTTAAAACATACTATTAATGAAGCAGATTGTGATTCTGGTAACCAAATAGAACCACCTAAGAATCCGAAGCAAAGCACTACAACTCTGAATAAAAAGAGAGAGGTTCCCTTTGTGGAAGTGATAAAAGGAGAGTGCAAGGTCAAAAGTGTAAATAAAATGGCATCCAAATCAAAGAAAAGGAAGACCTTCGTAGATCCTCCAGAGAGCCATGAAGTAATGGAGATGATATCTGACACCAGTCAGGGACTGTCGGTTGAATCTGAGCAAGCCAATGAGGAAAAAAATCTGGAAAATGAAAATATTAAGCCAGACTTTAACACTAAGGTGTTTAACTCCTTATCTCATATATATTCACCTAACATGCAAGATTCTTCCCTTAACAGTGTTCACAAGGGTTCAAGACTTTTGTGTATTCCTTCCAGTAAAAATCTGATAATAAAAGAAAATTTTGCCCTGGAGACCTCGCCAGTCTTTCAAGTAAGTGATGATGTGCAGGAGAAGATGACAGGGATGAAATTTAAAGTCACTCAGAGGACACAAAAATCAGGAATAGGTAAGTAAATACCTGAAGTGAGATCAAGTTTTTATTTACTTATTTATTTTTTACTTAACCAGTAAAGTATTTTCTGTTATAATTGATATTTTTATGGAATTTAAAAATAAAATTTAACTGTAGCCCAACAATGTGAAGGAATTTTTTAAAAGTTTAATGCTTTGGAAAGATAACAGTGAGAGTGTTTTGAACATTTATAACCTAAAAAACAGATTGGCCTTTACCACAAAGTTGTCTAGTAATATCATTAGACATATAATTTTCTATTTCATATGTTTGAAGGAAATTGACTATTTTAAATATATATAATAATGAATTGCCCTGGATTGATTTCACCAAAGACAATTGCAAGTTTCTTTAAGATGGGACTCTCCAAAAATATACGTTCACTGTGATCAAAATTTAGAGGATTAAAAAATAAACGATACCAACTCCCTTTCCTCAAAATACATGTATGTAAAAGTTACAAAATACAGTGGTAAATGTGGTAAATGCTTTAATAAAAGCACACATATTATACTAAGGGATGTAATAGGGAGTAATTTTGACTAAAGGAACCCACAAAGACATCATGAAATAGGTAGCATTTTAGGCCCTAAAGGATAGGTAGAATTTTTACTTTAACGTTTACTTTTTATTGTCCCCTAGTTATTAAAATAATACTCATTGCAGAAAATTGAAAATAGAGAATCAGAGAAAAGTAGGAAAAACAGTCACCCAAAAGAACTGCAGTCAACATTTTAGCTTTTGCATGCAGACCTGACTCTTAAAGATTTTTAAAATATAACTTGAAATTATACTGTATATAAAGTTATTTATTTTATATTTTCCCTTTAACATTGGATTCTAAGGATGTTCCTTTGTGAATAGAAACTTTGTAACATTAGACATTCCTATATCAATTGAAGTTTTCTGGGAACCTAACATTTCACTTACATGTCTGTAGAACACTAAGATTTTTTCCCCCAATTTTATTGAGAAATAATTGACATACAATACTATTTAAAGTGTACGGCATGCTGGTTTGATTTACACATACTGTGAAATGATTGCCACAATAGGTTCAGCTAACATTTACCATTTTGTATAGATGCAATAGAAAGAAATGAAGAAAAAAGAAAAAATTTTTTTCTCCTTTTGATGAGAACTCCTAGGATTTACTCACTTAACAACTTTTCTGTATATCATATGGCAATGTTAACTGTAGTTATCATGCTGTACGTTATATCTTTAGTACTTTTTTATCTTACAACTGAAAGTTTGTACCTTTTGACCACCTTCCTCCAATTCTCCCGCCCCTCAACCTCTACCACCTCTGGTAACAACAAGTCTGATCTCTTTTTCTGAGGTTTGTTTTTGTTTTTGTTTTTTTTAAGATTCTACATATAAGTGAGATCATCAAGTATTTGTTTTTCTTTGTCTGACTTATTCTACTTAGCATGTCTTCAGGGTCATCCGCATTGTTGCAAATGGTCGAATTCCCTCATTTTTTATTTGGCTAAATCATATTCCATTGTATTTACATACCACAACTTCTTTATTCATTCATCAGTGGACACAGGTTGTTTCCATGTCGTGGCTATTGTAAATAATGCAGCTATGAACATCAAGATGCAGATATCTTTTCAAGTTAGACAACACTAAGATTTTGATGAATAAGGCTATTCCAGGTAAAAGGAATACTGAAGCAAAAGAAGTACAAAGGTCTAGAGTTCTGGGACTTGTTAGAGGACATAAGGCAACCTTCATCTCTATATTGCTCATGGTTCCTTTCACAGAGTTGAGTAGTAGATGACAAATGTTGACTATATGTGTAGTAATTTGTGTGATTTTTTTGAATTTTTATCAACATATTTGTGATTTCAGAATTAAAATGTTGTGGGCTACCTTGAGAGTTTGTTTCAAATTTTAAGTTTCTCATTGCTAGAAAAAAATTAAACTGACAAATAATTTTAGTGCTACAATTGTAATATTTTAAATTATATTTTGGTTATTGTTAAGTTTAAAAATTTACTACCAATTTGCAAACCACTAACTACCCATATCTATTTCCATATCTATGTATCTTTACAAATATTTGTGAAAATAATATTCTTTTCAGGCGGTAGAACACTACAGGACTTGACAAATACCAGTTTTGTTTCGAATAACTCTGCTAAATCTGAAAATAAATCAGAAGATCCATCTTTAGAGCTGCCAAGCCGAAGAAGAAGGTGCACTCCTCTCCATTTCAAAGAACCAAGTCTCAGAGAGTAAGTATTTCAGTGATATTAAAGTGATTTCAGTGTGATATTATAAAATATGTACTTAAAAAAAATTCCTGCCTGAATTAGTATTTGAACACTTCTGAATATCAATAAAACATAGATTATTGACGTGTAGCAACCAGAGTATTATCTGAGTAAGATTTGAAAAAATGTCTTCTTTTATTCTTCGAATAGGCTTTTAAAAAAGATGTTGCCTATGATTTGCAAACCACTGTTTACATATCTATTATTCCCATTTATTTTTTTAACTTGTTTTCTAGAAGTGGTTTTCAAAATATATCTGTTCTTGGCCTCAAAGAATAATGTTTATTTTTTTCTTTTTTAAAATTTTACACATACCTCAACTAAGAAAAAATAGTACTCCCCACATTTATCCTCCCCCAAGTTCAACAGGCATCAATATTTTGCCATATTTGCTTCATCTATCTCTTTTTGTTGTAGTATTTTTTAAATAAATCCCTAACATTGGGTCATTTGATTCCTAAAACACTTCTGATCACATCTAACAAAATTACCAATATTTCCTTACTGTCATCTAATAGACAATCCCTATTCAAATTTCCTTGATTATCTCAAAAATGTCCAAATGCCTTTTATACATGTTTTATTCAGAATTTTGTTTTTTAAAAGGAGAAATGAAATCACCTGTTTCATAGAACCTGATCATATTTGGGACATATTTTCAGAAAGAAAGAGTAAAATATCCTTAAATTTTTTCTTCTTTGCATTGTTTCAATGTTTGCTTCTTTTATAAAATGAAAAACGTGATGATCGTGACAGGTATTCTAAAACAATAACCAGCATATAGCAGTAATACAAGGGAGAGTGAAAGAGAAGCAAATTAAAAATGAAATAAAGGACTAAGAGCTTTTTTTAGAAACAATTTTGTTGAGCTGTGGTTCACATACCATACATTTCATCCATTTAAAGTGTATAGTTCAGTGGTTTTTAGTATATTCACAGATATGCATATCATTATTCCCATACCCCAGCCTATGCAACCATTCATCCTTCCTGTCTCTATAGATTTTCTTATTTTGGACATTTCATATGAATAAAATCATGTAATATACGGTCTTTCACTTAGTATCTTGCATTTAACATAATGTTTTAAGGGTTTATCCATGTTGTAGTATATATCAGTATTTCATTCCTTTTTTTTGACTCAATGATAATCTATTGTATAGATAGGATATACATAGTTTAATATATTTGTAATATATATACCACATTTTATTTATCTATTTGTCGATAGACATTTGTTGTTTCTACCTTTTCGTTATTATGAATAATGCTGCTATCAATGTTCTTTTGCAAATTTTTGTGTTTACATATGTTTTCATGTCTCTTGGGTATATGCCTAGTTGTACAATTGCTGGGTTGTATGGTAACTCCATATTTAATCATTTGAGAAGCTGCTAGACTGTTTTCCAAAGCTGCTGCACCATTTTATATTCCCATCAACAGTGTATAGAGTTTCTGATTTCTCCACATCCTCACCAACAAACTTGCTATTTTTTGACTTTTTGATGATGCTAGCAATACTAGTGTGTGTGAAATGGTATCTTATTTTTGATATGTATTTCTCTAATGACTAATGATATGCTTATTGGCCATTGGTACATCTTTGGAGAACCTTCTATTCAGATCCTTTAGCCTTTTTTCAGTCAGGTTGTCCTTCAAGTTAAACTTTTTATTTTGAACTAATTTTAGACTTAGTTAAAAATTATAAAAATAATACAGAGTTTCCTCACCCAGCTTTCCCTAATTTTAACACCTTACATACCCACAGTACAATGATCAAAACTAGAAAATTAGCATTGGTACAATACTATTAACTAAACTATATTTAGACTTCCACTAACAACCTTTTCTGTTTTAAAATCCTATCCAGGATCCCATAGTACATTCAGTTGTTGTTTCTCCTTAGTCTAGCCTGTGACAGTTCCACGGTCCTTCCTTTTCTTTCATGACTTCGAAGACTATTAGTCAGTTATTTTGTAGAATATCCTTCAGTTTGGTTTGGCTGATGTTTTCTCATGATTACAATGCGGTTTGCATTTTTGGCAAGAATTCCACAGAAATGGTATGTCGTCACTGAATCATATTGGGGGTTCATCATGTCAATACGTCCGATTATTAGTAATATTAACCTTGATAACTTGATTAATGCTGGGTATTTTTCACTATAAAGTTATTGTCTTTTTCGTTATGGTTAATGAACATTGGAGGATATATTTTGAGTCTGTGCATCCTGTCTCTGCTCATACTTTTCACCCATCATTTTTATGATCCATTGGTGGAGCTGCTCTGTAACAATTACTGCTGTGGTGTTTGCCTAGTAATAAACCTCTTTCCTTACTTTAATTGTAATTCTTCTGTGACAAAGACCTATTCCCTCTTCCTCATTTATTTCATTGCTCAAATCATTCCAGCTTTGGCTATTAAGAGTTTCTTCAGGTCGGCTTCTGTGTTCTTTCAACAAGATCTCATATTATTTTGAGCACTTCCTTTCTGTGCATAAGATGATCTAGGCTTATCTTAAGATTTTCTTTATATTGGTTAGCTGCAGGTCACAGTTCCTATCCTATGCAAAGAGAGGGGATTATGCAAGAGCATGAACCCAGTATGCAGGGATAATGTGGGAGTCCTCCTTGGACTCTGGCCACCACAGGGGTGTTGTTGAGCCCTCTTAGAAGACAGAACTAGGGAATATATGTATGTATGCTAATATATGCATATATACACTTTTGTATTTTTCTCTCTACATGTAGTAAAAACATGAGTTTATACTGATAACTGATTCTAGTTCAGTACCACAGGGTTCATTTTAGCTTTGATTGTTCATAATTTATCAGTGAGAAGCCTGGCTCTCATTATTTATAATATATTCATTTATTTGTTCATTTCTAACATAAAGCAGTTTCAAAATTGCTAACCCATATCCCTGTGAGAAACATATTTACTAACTAAAGTGTAACATTTAAATGTAATTCTTTTTGTCCTTAGTTCTTTTCTTACCAACCCCTTTAATGTAATTATGTTATTTATGTGTAATTCACTTAGATACATTTGTTTGTACTGTTTGTTTGTTTATATTATTTGTATTCCGTTTTCTTCTCCCACATCTTAGTAGGTTTTGTTGTTTACTTTGGGGTATATGAAACATTTCTTGGGTTGTATAAGTCAGAGCTCTACAAAATAGCATCTGCAGAAGTATCAACTCTCATCCCTAAATAATGTAGTATGATTTATAGTTGTAAAATATTGGGAACAACTTAAGTATGCATATATAGGAATGTGGTTGAATAAACTATAGCACATCTATATACTATTAAGTATTATCCAGCTGTAAAAAAGAATAAGGAAAATCTCTGTGAATTGATACAGAGAGATTTCCAGAACACACCATTAAATGAAAAAAAGCAAAGCCCAAAAGAGTAGCTATAGTATGCTACCCAATTCCCATTACCTCTTCTTTCTGTCCTATTTTCACCCTCCCCCTATGAGTAATTTCTTTAGTTTCTAGTTTATCCTTTATTTCTTTTGCACAAATAAGCAGATATATGTATATCCCCCCTTTTTCTTACATAAAGGTAGCATGCTATAGCTACTCTGTTGGACTTTGCTTTTTTTCATTTTAACGGCGTGTTCTGGAAATCACTCGATATCAATTCACAGAGGTTTTTCTTATTTTTCTTTTTTTTTACAGCTGGATAATACTTAATAGTGTATAGATGTGCTCTGGTTTATTCAATCACATTCCTTTATATGCATACTTAAGTTGTTTCCAATATTTTGCAATTATAAATAATAGTACATTGAATAATCTTGTGCATATATCTTTTCATATTGTTGAGGGTGTATCTTCAGGGTAAACTCCTACAAGTGGGACTACAGGGGTGAAAAATAAGGGCATATATAGTTTTATTAGGTATTGTCACACTTCCCTCCAGTCTAGTA